CACAGGGTGTCCCCCACCAGGGGCCCGGGCGGCTCCGCCTCTGCACCCTCACCTACCCGCTCCCCTCGGACGCCGGCCGCCCCACCCCACACCCAGGGTCTCCCCAGGACCCGCCCCAGCACCCCAGAAAGCCATTAGAGGAAACTGCAACTAGCCACATGCAAGGCCCGCCTCTGCCTCCTGGGGACCCCTGCCACAGGCGGGGAGGGGTGCAGCCTCCTGGGGACCCCCGCCCCCCACAGCGGGGAGCACATCTTCATTCACAGACCAAACCAGCTCCCTAACCCAGACTGACAGCTTCACCTTTCCTTTTGGGAACACCAATAATGACAAAATCACCCCCAAACAGGGCAGGGAGGCACAGTGTGGGAGAGGGGTGCCGACTACGGTTGGGGCCCTATAAGGTCTGGAATCCCGTGGCCAACCTGCCGGTCCCTTCCGCCCCCGAGTCTCGGAGCACGCGTCACCCACACCACGGCAGGACACGGCACCACGCGGGTCCCTCGTGTCACAGATCCGTGTCATGACAGCCCCAGGGGTCCTCGAAGCCTGCTCAGCAGCCCTGGGACGGGCCTTGCTATGAGCTCCTCCCCAGCCCCGGGAGACAGCCGGGCACGGTGCTCTGCCCGCCTCCCCCGCTGTTCGCCTCCCTGGACGCCGAGCCTGGGGTTGGAATGCACTTTGCTTAGGAAACGAGGCAGAGGTGTCACCTTCTTGTCCCTGCAGATGGTCCTGGTGCCCAGGACGTAGCCCATGTTCACAATGGGCCGCAATCCGCCGGGCTTGGGGACAAAGCGGAGCCTGGAGAGCAGCGGAGCCGGCCGGGCCTCCTGCAGGAGCTTCACCTCCGCCTCTGACAGCTCCCGAAGCCGCACCCTCTCGAAATGCTGCCTGGCAGAGAACCACGGGGACGCGGGTGACGGCCGTGCAGGAACCGGGCGGGCCAGCCGTGGGGGGCGGTGCCCGCGAGGGTGGCGGGGCCTGCTGCACCCACTGGCTGACCGGCTGCTGCAGCCCCCCCCCACCCGCACCCCGGCAGAGCCCGGGACACCACGGGACCCCCGGGCGAGAGGCCCCATGTCCGCCACGTGGGATGTGCGGGGTCCTGGTGCAGCCACAGA